AAGCAATGAAAGTTGAGTTCAGGCCCGGATTAATTATTCCCCTACTGTGAAACTCCTCGAAGACTGACCTAAGATCCTCCTCCACTATATCCCAATAATCCTGATAGAAAGCCATTGTGAAGCCATCTGGGCCTGGAGCTTTTGTCCTATCCAATGAGAATACTGCTACCTTTATCTCTTCCGGATCAAACCTCTTCTCCAACCATTCTCTGTTCTCTACACTTAGAGTCGGCCACTCCAAACCCTCCAACCACACCCTCTCATTCAAAGGCCTTCTGAATATAGATTTGAAATGAGTTACTAAGGCCTCTGCTATTTCTATCGGGTTCGACAAGACTGCTCCTTCTACTTCCAATTTTGATATGAGATTCTTTTTTCTCCTCCCATTTGCCATTGAATGGAAAAATCTAGTGTTTCTATCTCCCTCCTTTAGCCACTTACACCTAGATTTTTGCCTCCAACTTATTTCCTCAATCAGAACATCCTCCATCTGCCTTCTCAACTCCCATCTCATTTTCCTGTCTTCCTCTCCAAAGGATCCCCTCTCTTCCTTCATATCCAAATCCTCAATCTGCTCTAGCAAGACTTGTTTCCTTTCCTCTATTCTCCCAAGCTCCAACCTATTCCACTCCTTTAATTGTGATTTTAGAAATTGAAGTTTCTTGTGGAACCTCATTCCCTCCCACTCTACTACCGGATTAGATTGCTCCCACCACTCCCTGATCTTCTCACTGAATCCCGGACAGGTTAACCACATATTTTCAAACCTGAATGGAGTGGGTCCATCACCTCTCAATTCCTCCTTACACATCACTATAGGCCAATGGTCTGAAGTAATTCTTGGGAGTGCCCTAGATACTAGGTTACCCCAATGTTCCTCCCAGTCTGTTGAGAACAAGAATCTGTCCAGCTTGGAGCATACTGGCCTCGACTAAAGGTTGGACCAAGTGAAGTTATTATTTAGGAGTGGAATTTCTTTAAGCTCAAAAGTATCCACAAATGGTTGAACTTTCTCATACTAGTTGTCACTCTTTGTTTGGGGTTGTTGGTTTCCTCTGTAAATCGCACTACATTAAAATCCCCTCCCGCACACCACGGTCCCCCCCAGAGGCCCCTAACATCACTCAATTCCTCCCACAATTTCTTCCTCTACCTATAGTCATTGGGGCCATAAACGTTTGTTAGTACCCAGTCGTACCCATCTTCCACCTGTCTGAATTTCAGGGAAACAGAGTAAATCACCTATTAGCTCCTCCAAGCCGATTAGTATATTTTCTTTCCACAGTGTTACAATCCCGCCTGAGGATCCCCAAGATGGAGTGGCCACCCACTTGATTCCCCTATCTCTCCACACACTCCTTGCCCATCTGCAATCAAAATCCATTCTTTTAGACTCCTAGATCATTACCACATCCGGGTTAAACTTCTTAATCACCTCTTTAATTGTTGCTCTCTTCCTAACACTGCCCAAGCCTCTCACATTCCAACTTAGAATTCTCATTTTAACTTCTCAACCCCAATTCCTCCACCCTCTACTTAACCCCTTTCCTTCTATCCCCTCTCATCTCAAACTTCTTGTCCCCCTCAATATCTCTTTTCAACCTCTCTACTTCACTCAAATTTCTTTTCTTTACCTTACTATCCTCTTTTTTATGCATATAAACTTTTAGATCATTTGGATTCTTCAATTTACACCCCAGCCTTTGCACAAATTCTGCAACCGATTCTTCCTTGCTAGTTTCCTCCTTATCTTAAAGTTCCTTTCCTCTCACTCCCAGGGATCTTCTCACTCTTTTCCTTATATCCTCCATCATTTGTCCTTTCTATCCCTTCTGTAAACCCCCTCTGCAGTTCCTTCCTTTCCACTTCACCCATTAGACCCTCAATGATTTCGCAAATCTTTGTCTCCCTACAAGTTTCTCCACCACTTCCTCCCCTTCCTTATCCCCTTGTACCCTCACTGTGGCTTTCTGACCATGGGCCTCGGACACTTGGTTGAGAAAGGAATCTGGAACAAGGGACACAGAGCACTCATCAGTAGCAAAAACTGAATTGACAGAGTTAACAGAAATACCTGAAATCAACTGAGGGTGGAGAGGGGTATTCAAATGAGGAAGATTGGTTCAC